TATTTTCCATTGCTAGCTTTACTAACATCTTTCCAACCCGCCCATTTCCATCATAAAAGAGTATTGTTCAGTGTTCCACTTTTTATAAAACCAAAACAAAAACAAGATCCTTTGAAAGTGGCCGAATGTATAATCTTATTATGTAGCGGGTCTCAATAGGCAATAGGCATTAAATTCCTTCCATACTTTAACCCTCCCCGCCCCCTACCGGCTACCCCCCATAATAAACGAGTCAATAAAGTGACCTATGTTTATTTTATAGATACAGGGTGCTCCAATAATAACTAGAAGGTCAAAAAATATATGCAAATTAATTTGCTACGTTTGACCCAACTAACAACTTCAACCGGTGTGATGTGAGATAATGCTTGGTTACATTTTTATAATTTTAAACATATCTACCTAATAAACATATCTGCCTAATAAACATATCTACCTAATAAACATATCTACCTGATAAACATATCTACCTTATAAACATATCTACCTGATAAACTTTGATCAAAACCGAAAAAAGTATAAAGTGGAAAAGCGAAATATTTTAAATTATCATTAAAAGTTACAGCTGTCTGGGTCAAGGACCAAACTGTTAATTCAGCCCGCTACGGTGAATATTCTTCTTGTGAATTATTAAGAGCATCATTTATCAGATTTGTTCGACATTTTTAGCGATGATTTTGCTGCGACTTCCTCGCCTAGCTAGCCTGTGAAATCGCAGCTAAATTCTAACTCGGATAATTGGTATTTTCGTTTTATTATCACACATGTTAAGGTGAAATCAGCGGATAGTGCTGGAGAAGCAAACTGCCTGGCAATTTCAATTCAGGTCAAAAAAAATTAACTTTCACGAGCAACATTTTTTTATTCTTTAGTTAATCGTACAAATTTGCTTAACCAGAACATTTTATTAATTTCGAACATAATGCTCGTAATTTCGGTATGTTCGATATTAGGAACAAAATGTTAGGCCTTTTCTACCGGTGTAGAGATGAATTTCTCCAGCATGGGAAACATGGGAATTATATATTAATAATATTAATAATTATTCAATATTGTCTTAGTTCAAAGCAGGATTATTTTGCAAATATGATTTTGTAGTTTCACTGTTAAAACACTTAACACCGAAAACTACTAGTCTCGGGATTTCCAAAATGTGGTCTTCCATTTTTTCACCTTCAAGATTGACGGAGATATTTGGAAATTTGTCCAGATTCCAGTTAATAAAAAAAAAACTGTTCAAATGTGTTATATCTTGGTCGATTTTAAAGATGTAGACCACATTTTGAAAAGCTCATTAGACGTCCAATCTTTTCTTGATATAGTATATGTCGTTTATCAATTATCGGAAATCAAAGACGATATTCAAGTCGTCTCTCAATTCCCATGTTTATTTGGGACACCCTTCAGTTTTGAAAATAATCATTATGTTTTTTTATCAGGATGAGTTGTATTTTGTTACAGTAAGAGACTTACCTCCATCTACTGAATTGGTAGTTTTCTTACTTTTATAATGATTGAAAAAAATTGCTGGGAAAGTTGATTGAAATGTCTAAAGAAGTTTTGTAATTGTACTTAATGTAAATGTTCAAATTTAATCGCTGATAACTGCTTCTTATACAACTAAAAGAAAACTGGTTGCGAAGAATCCTGAGATGAGATTTTAAAAGCTTAAACACGAGTAAAACCCGGTATTTTCGTCTGCTTAGACCCAAGTAAAGCTCAAGTCAAGACCCGGGTTTTGAATGGCCTTGAGTTTAGTAAGAACCAACTATCTTGGGTTTTTCTCTCTTTAAGGCTCGAGTCTTCAACAGCTGATGATTGTAAATTTCGCAAAATCTTTTATATTTGTACATTAAAAATCTCGGGAATTATTTGTTATGTCAAATTTTATTAATTATATAAAATAAACATACTATAAAAATAATGTATCAACATAAAGTTTGAACTTTCGAAATTTACATCTCTTTGTCACAGCTGATCTGACAACATTCTGTCTGCTACAGAGAGAAAGCTTGCAAAACAGTCTCTCATTGGTCGGATCAGAACCAATCCTGACTTGGGTTCTATCTAAGCCCGAGTTTGGGTTTTCAGTTTAGGTTTAGTCGGGTTTAAGCTTTTAAAATCTCAGCTCTGGACTCATCTAGTTTATCTTGTTGGTCTTGACTTTTTGTATCCGATAATGCAAAAATGTTAAGACCGGCCAAATATATATTTGGCAAATGCAAACTCCTGACAAGACAAACTCCAAAAATGAAATAACTCCGGAATTTAAATTCCTGCAGAGCTCGGCCCCTATCCCCTCCAACTTGCAGCCTGCGAACCTCTATCGGCCTACCCTAATAAAATAATAAAAGAAATGTAAAAATATCAATTTTTCGGAGTTTAATCATTTCGGAGTTTGTACCAGTTTGTTTGTACTGTATACATGTCGGGAGCTTTGCTTTCAGAAGAATGTCTTTTTCGAAGTTTGTATTTCTGCAGTTTGTCTTTCATGATTTTATCATGGCACCATTGCACCGATCAGGCGCAATTTTTCTATGTGAAGCTGGCCTTTAATTATCTATATTTTGTTTTATTGTCAGACGTTTTATTCTCGTGAGGATCCAACCGTAGAATTTTGGACAACCTGGACGGAAGCGTGGGCAAACCAGGTTTGTGTTGATGTTGATGTTGATGTTGATGTTGATGTTGATGTTGATGTTGATGTTGATGTTGATGTTGATGTTGATGTTGATGTTGATGTTGATGTAAAAACTTTGTGTTGGAAGCGCTAATCTAAAGCGGTTGATCTCGATATCCATACTTACCACTTTCAAATATCAGAACTATGGGCTTGATCCTTCAATGTTTGACCACAGGATATCCCAGAGAAATTAATTCAATCCTTTGGGCGACTAAAAATAAAAAAGAGGCTTGATCTTTTGATTCATTTCACACAAAGAGATATAAGGATATTTACTTATCAAAGATTTTGACATCATTTCAAGATTAATTGTATGTAGCGAGGAACATAATTAACATATAAAAGGTGAAGAAGGTGAAAGAGTATATACAGTTTTTATCATTATGTTTATAAAAGGAACGAATCAAATTAATCTTAAATATGGGTTACTAGACATTTTTGGAAGACGTGTTTAACTAATCTACTTTATGACATTAAAGTGCACAGTAGTCAAGGATCCAAAATGTGCACGCTCTCACGGAAATATTTAACTGTTTTTGTCATTTATTCTTTGTTTTTAACTTAGAGAAACTGGCTCGCTGTATAGTTCTAAAAAGCCGCGGCTCAAATTTGAGACGCGGCTCAAATATGGCTGGTTCCACTAAAAATTGTATTTAATGTTTCAAGATATAAGGCGGCGCTCAATTGAAACCGGTTTTTGGCGGATTTGAGACACGACTCAAATTCATTTATAAATTCTGAATCTTGAATATGTTTTAGACCCGGTGCATTCGCTGCTCAATACAATTTGAAGATATTGCTGATTACAGGTGAGCTTAAAGGCCAAAGGGACTGTCGTGGTAATTTCACGAGACCCTCCATTACAGGAGGGCATGGCCGATTAAAAAGGAATTAATCTTCAGATCAATACTGTAAATATATCGGCGACAATTAATTCCTTTAATCCTCTTTTCACCTTTCATAGAGAACTACAATTGAACATAATCAACTTTCAAAAATAAGATTGTTGATATCTAATGCATTTTTGATCAGACAAAGCTTTTAAGGGTACCGTCTTTAATCGGACATGTCCGACTTAAAGGGACTTAAATGTGATTCAACAAACTAAACATTTTCTAGCACATCTTTCTTACTCTCACTTTTTTAAACCGCGACCGGTGGCCGTAAAGAATTTGAGCGGCAGTTTAAATTTAAGCTGCGGCTTAAATATGGTTGGTAACACTTAAAATTGTATCAAATGTTTCAAGATTTAAACCGGCGCTTAATTTAAACAGGGTTTTGGCGGATTTAAACCGCGGCTCAAATTCTTTAAATTCCATCTCCGTCCGCTTAAATATTGTTTTAACGATTGTAAACTTTTTAAATTATTTTCTTTGTCAAATTTTAGATGTTAAAGTTCAAAAGAAGAATTATAAAACTTATTATCGAAAATCTATCTTTTGATATTGCAATATAAACTCTTATTGAAAGGATTTGCTTTTAGAACGCTTCTTAAAAAAAATGTTAAAACTATTATTTTTGATTGTGTGCAATGTGCTTTTGTCTTTGTTCAGCAATAAATGTCAGCTTCAAAAGTCGTATAAATTGGTAATGGCATTTTTAAAATTAAAATAAACTATAAACTAACCTATTGGGCAATATTAGTTCCGCAATAATATCTTGACTAAGTGCGTAAGTCTTATATATCGTATTGACGTTTATTTTGATTTATCAATTAATCGTGAATTTCAGTTATAATGAAAAAATCTTGACAACAATGATTGCTATAATAATAATGATTTCAGAGTTCATATCTCTGTTTGGCATGACACTTCCTTTCAGGGGAACCCACAGGTCAATTATGAAATCAAATCTGAGCTGGGAACTTTAGAATGGGATACCTTTAATCCCGACTGCTTAATCCAAAAATCCAATGTGAACACTTTTAATTTCTTGCTTAATCCACTCTTTTTTGGATATAGGACAGACAAATCAAAAACCAGTTTTTCAAAATTAGAGAGCCCCTCCCGTTTCTGTATGTTAATTTTAAATTTTATACACTTTTTAGGATACAAGCACAAGATTTGGTTAGTCTCGAGATTAAGAAAAAGAGAGAATTAAACGTTAATCTCGATATCCACCATTCTAAAGTTCCCAGCTCTGATTATTTATTCTTTGATTCTTAATCCTCTAAAAAGGTTTTAAAAATTTACCAATCTGCAAATTCTTTTGTGTTTGATTATTTATTAGGACTTTAACCTCGAAACCTCTTCAAGAAAGTGTTCGCGAAAAATGAAATGAGGCATAGGCTTACGGCGAAAACTTATCGAAGGTGATCGCTACTAATCTTACTTCTATCTGTTGCGTATATAAGGAGAAAATTGTTAAAAACGACTCATACCTAAGAACGTAGCGTCCCTACAATTCAATTCTAAACAAACCATTCAGATATTACAACCTATAATCATATAATTTTTCGACACATTCGAATATAGCTGATATTTCATAATATTTTTGATTTTTTAAAAATTAATATTTCACTTTCACGGTCGCAGAGCTGGATTTTCGAACATTCCTGGAAAATATGAAAATGTCGTCGTTATTATCAAAAACCCTCGAAACCGAAATAAATGTTTTCAAAAGTAACTCTTAGATCATAAAGTAAGATTAGTGTCGATTTCCAACGATAATTTTTCGCGAACACTCCCTTTAACTGTATAAATTTATTTCTTCCTATATACATCTAATGGCAGTGGGGTTGTCTATTGGAAAAACATCAATAAACCCTCCAATAAAGCAAGTAATTTACCGTTATAGTTAACCAAGGAAAAAACAGGACATAAATAAACTTAATTATTCTTTGTATTCACAAAGCTAGGGATATATGTGTATGTATTATAGATTGAAAACCATTAAAGAAAAGAATAATTTTATAAATCTCTTTGCTTAAAGCTATTTTTGCACACATAATGTTAATATGCATGGGTATTTAGGATATTTCATATAAAGGGTATTTTATATACAGGACATTTCATGAATAGGACTTTTCATAGAAAAAGAAACTCATAACTAGGACATACAATAAATAGGACATTTAATAAATAGGACATTTCATAGATGGACTTTTCATAGACAGGAAATTTCAGAGAAGAGTTTTCATAGATAATGGTGATTTCATAGACAGAAAAGAATTTTTTAGAGACAATGAAAAACTACTAATGAGTCACAATTTTAGAAAATATGATCAGTTTGAGATACAAATAATTTTTATAACAATCCATATATAAATGTTGTTTGCAATGTGCGCATCTCAACTGACTCAATAAAGAAATTTGTTATAAGTTTAAAGCACAACTATATGAATAATATTTGAAGTATAAATCAGAGAGATCGTAGAGAGAATGATTTAGTAAATAAGATTGCTAGAAAGAAGAAAAAATGTTTCTTCTCTGTCTATGAAATGTCCCAATACCCATTTATGATGGGGTTTAATGTGCAAGATTTGTTTTCTTCAGCTAGAATGTTAATATGCCTAAAACTTGCTTGCCAAGATAAAGGAATTCTAGAATAAGAGTTTGAAGTATGATTTCAGTTTCTTTTGTACGGATTAAATATCATGGACTAGTTACAGCATATAATCTTTATGTGTTGGATTAGAAAAGGCGAATAGATAAACTTCCGATGAAAATTTCAGTGCCAATTTAATTTGAAAAAATAAAACCAGAAACTAGAATTGTAAAATATAAATTTTCTCAAATATTTTCAGAACCGAATATATTTCTGTCCAGACTGTGGAGCAAAGAGGATCGGGGCCAAGGATATTGTTAAACATTGCAGGTAATAGCCGAACAATACAACCAAGCATTGATTAAAGAAACTGATGTATGGACAGATTGAGAAAGTCAAAAATGTGTGACATCTCCTCCAGTTTTGATTATGTGCACAAGTATGACAAAGTTGCAAATTTATCCGAGTACAAGAGTAAAACATTTTTATTTTTTTTTGTTGTGATTGAAAACAGAAGATTTAAATCTTACGTAAAATTTACTCATGCAGTGTTATTTAGGATAATTAGCCTAGCTTATATGACCAAACTCGGTTTAAAGCTGTTCAAAATCACAAAAAAATTGTGATTTTTTGGTATTTTTGCAAAGATCTGAAAATTATTAAAAAATTTTAATTCTGGATTTGAGATTTTAAAAAAACTTCCAAAATTTTCAGATTTTGGAAAATATTGAATTTTTCGAGGCTTTTAGGCCTTAGAAAACAACTTTTTATTTCTTTTCAAAAATGTCAACGAATTTGACTTCCTTGTATTGTAAAACGGTGTGTGTACTGTTCATGAAATTGTACATTTGGGAAGTTTCCACCTGGGAAAATGCTCGAAAATTCGGCATTTGAACAAATTAATTTGCATGACATCCAAATACACATATTTGCATTAAAGGTATTGTCGTCAAGAAACCTTTCGTTAAAAATGGGCTTGCCCGATTGAAAACGGGGCCTTTAAACATTTATTAATGGAAGATATCGCCGTTTTTCAGTTCGAAAAGTGTTTAATTTTGAAAATTCATTCTTGCAAAGTGTGGACGAGTACCGTTGTGAATTTGACGTGCAATTCTGAAAATATAGGACCTATAATGTTTTTTTTGTTGTTAAAGGATTGAACATGGTAACCTGGCCTTCCCTTGTAGATATTGCAAAAGGAGGTACATTTTATCTATCTTCATACTTCATGTGTATATTTTTATTTCTGATATCTTTATCTACACGATTGTGTATGGTTTTCAATATAACAGAATTCTGCTCACGACTAAATTCTAGATATTGTGAAGAGAAAAAATCTGCCATTTCGTTTGAGCATCAATTATCATGCTGTACCCAGGGATCATCATTTTTAAATAAGAATGAAAAAAAATTCATTTGTCAAAACTAGCGAACCTTTGACTTTAAAAAAACGAAGGATTAAAACTAACGAACTTTTAGAAAACGAAAAACGAAACTAAAATAATGTTAGTTCTAATTAACCACAACTGTTTACCCGCGCTTGAACGAACCTCCTTGCTTAGACAAACAGAGCACTGCAGGTTAGCAGAAATCACACTACGTATATAATTGTATTTTAAATATTATCGGAGACATAAAATAGGTGGTGTATTTTTCGACCTACACATATCCGCCATACTCCACTTCTGACCTACGCCAAATCCGCTATACTACACATCCGACATACTAGCACGTGATATTACAGCTGCTATATGGACTTGTGGCCGCAGCGCCCGGCCCCCTAGCCTGTTCTAGCCGCGGCGCTCGGCCCCCTAGCCTGTCCTAGCCGCGGCGCTCGGCCCCCTAGCCTGTCCTAGCCGCAGCGCTCGGCCCAGAAATTGTCTTAACCTAACCTATCCCTCAAATAATACTAAAATAAACAGCTGGCGTAGGTCCGATATTGCAGTAGGTCGGAAAGTTAGTAAGTCAGAAGTTCAGTAGGGGGGATGTTGCGTATAGACGATGTAACATTACCATAAAATATCAAGAGTCGAAATCTAGTCAAGTTTCTTTATATCTCTGTTAGGGTTGAAGAGTTATCGCAGACCAAATTTAGGAAATCCCAAAAACTAATACTTGGGGATTGTTAACTAGATTGTTTTTAAGGGTGTTTTCCTACAGCTTTTTTATTACAAAAAATCGACAAATCTTAATCCAACGTTTGCGATAGTTAAACTTTTACGAATTTCAATTTATTTCAATTTCTATACTTATAAAATAAGAATAAAGAATAATAATTTAAATTTTAAAACTATTATCATTATTAGATTTGGATTTATTTGCAAATTTTACAATTTTCATTTTATCAGAATAACAATCTTTAAATATATATTAATTGAGGATAATGAGGGAAGCGTAATTTTAATGGGGAAAAAGTTTGAACTTTTTAGTTTTTGGTAAAATTTTGACCCCGCACCCTCACGTGCTACCCTGCAACTTTCCTAAACTAAAATTCTCAACCTTTATATAGTGTAATATTGACAAAAAAGAAAAGATTAAGAAGATTGCAAAAATATCTTGGAAAGATTTGAAAGAATTAACGAAATGACAAACTGATTTTTTCTTCATGATATGAAGTGTGATTCATTCACAATTTCACATTGGGTAGCAAAGATATAGGGATTAGAAATGTACGATTGTGACAACAACTCAATTCCTTTAGACTTTCTTACCTAACAGAAGTCATAGTTTGAAACATGAAAAGTCTACAACACCAGCTTGCAAAGATGTAGAGATTAGAAAACTATAATTTGTGGCGAATTTTTAGTTCTATTTGTGTTTTTTTTTAATGTTACAAAGTGAGTAACACAATGAAAATGTTTTCAGTGTTCATGTTTGAGGTTTAAAAATATCAAATAAAGTAAAACAAATGCTATTTATTTTTAACACAAACAACGCGAAATAAAATTTTAAAAAATTTTTTCTTTTTTTAACATATCGATTAAAAAATCAGTTTTTTATTATTATCTAAAGTTTCATAAAAATCTATTGATGAATAAAACATAACATGCATTTTCCAATTGATAAAATAGTTTTGCATTTTAGTAAGTATCTACATTTCTGAAGTGTTCAACCTAAAAATGAACCATGCCAACAGAAGTAATGATTTCAGTTAATTAAATAAACATGAAACACAGCTCACAGACTCGTTCCACTTAATAAGTTGATTTTTTGCTATTAGTAAATCATTTGCTTTATAACAGAAAATGCATATGTAAAATTTCATAAATGTCGTCTTCCTTTTCCAGATATTTAGTAAGTTTCATTAAACAATGGCAAATCAAAAATCTTTAATGTCCAAGAAACATTAATAAGATTTGAATTTTTACTATATTAACATGTTTAAAAAAAAACTCGCTTACACTTTAGAAAGAAACTAAGTTTTTTTTAAAATATACTAATCCCTATATCTTTCCAACCTGATGGTTTAAACCTTTTATATTTCAATATTAATGGTTTATGGCATCGGGTTGCAAAGATATAGTAAATGAAAATTAGAGGTTGTGGTATAAACTCATTTCCTTTAAATGTGAAATGAAAAACCATTAGTCTTTGCTGTCATAATCATTAGTCGAATCTCTTACATTGATATATTAGAGAAGTTTTGAAATGTTTTGATTGGCAGAATTATTGTTACACTTTTGAAATTAAAACTCAGCCCTCATAGCCTAACATTTTATGAACAATATTTTCATTAGGCAGATATCTTTCGTTAGCCTAATTAATTTATCTTTTTTTTGAGTATTCTTTAGGAAAAAATGTGCTTAGAGACATAAAATTATGATGTTGAAAAGCTAAAATACTTGGATAACACTTAGATGCATAGGACGCCATGTTCTGCTGATAAAGATTAACTTTCATAATTTGATTGTTTTTTCAATTGTAAAAAAGTAACACATTTATTTTTTAAATGGGATTGAAACTGCTTTCGTTGTTATTAATTTTTTAAGACGATTTAAGTTGGATCATGACGATTTGCCTAAAATTTTGAATGGGGAACTCAGTAGAACCACGAAAATATTCATAGACTGGTTTTTAAAATTCTAAATTTATTTGGTTGAATTTTTTAACAAAAGTTATTTCTCTGGACAAAGCTGGGTTCCATATCTAATTACAGTATAGTCCATTAATTGGGACGTGGTAGGTCATTAACGATTGGTAACGAAGATAGATCTTTAACGATCGATAACGAAGGTACAGTCATTAACGGTTGTTAACTAATTACATACGCTTACAGAACGACGACTTAAAAAGTACCACTTTGTTTTTTATTTAAAAAACGATCCTTTTTAAAATAAATCTTTTCGTTTTTGGTTCGTTAAAAAAAGTTATATAAAATCGAGTGAATGTCTGCACACCTTTTAGTCAAACAAAATTGTTCGACCTGATTCTAATATGAGTCAGATATGAGATCATGTCGAGTATCACCGTTTCTGAAACCAAGTAAATGTATTTATTTTTCCATAGGTTTGAGTCATACAATTCCCTGATAAAACATAAGAAGAGATTACATGCTGAGCAGAAACCACAGGAAAAGAACAAATAGACTTTTAAACACATTTAATGAATATTTTAAAGAATATAAATAATGGTTTGATAATAATATTTTCATATTTTTGGCTTTTCTATTTTTCCAATTTTTTAAAAAGCGGCTATACTGATCAATGATCAGATTTAAATTTTTGAATATAAAACTTTTTTTAAAATAAAATAAAACATAAAAACCGCTGAAATGTTGTTTTGTTATTATTTTCAAATGTACGAAAGATCTGCAACGATGAAATCTGAAAAACCAGCAACATATTTGCTTAAATTCTATTAATTTGACACAATAAATATTTGTGTAGTTTAATACAATATGTGTTCTAAAGTTTAAGTGTACCGAGTGTGGAAAGACCTACAGAGATTCCAAAGCCCTAAAGGAAAAACAAAACTTTCATTTTGTGTGGAAATTTTGATAAGATTATTCAATTCAAAACAAAAACATGGTCAGAAAAGGGGTTACCTTATCAAAAATAATAAGCTCTCACGCAATTATAACTTTGATTATTACTTCTCAAAAACAGAAGCTAAAATCTAAAGGTTAAAGTTCTAAAATTTAAATATTTCTAGATCTTAACAAAAAGTAAATTAATAAGGGGGAGTCAAAAGTATAGGCGCTGTGACACTTCAAAGCCGACACAGTCTTGAAAATTGATACAACATTCCGTATCAGTCTAGATCTTTGTGCTCCACATTTGTCGAAAATGCCCCTAATCAGAAAAAATCGCATGCCTAAAATACCTACACGCATGGAGCACGTGAAAAGTTATAAAATCATTGTTGCAAAATAATATTATATTAACTTTTTTGTTTCGGCATTAAGGCTCATGTAGACTCAATACACTACAAAGTGGCAGAACTGAACTGCGGACACTGTGAAAAGATGTTCTCTTCAAAATATGCTTTAAACAGGCATATCAAAGAAGTTCATGATAGGTAAAAAAAATTCTCGGTGAAATTTCTAGTGACCCTTCATTTGATTAGGATATCTTCAGTTTCTTAGCTTAAAAGATGGTTGATTGTGAAAATTTTATCCATCTCATTATTTTTGATAGGGCAGAGTTTTTAAGGGTGCCGTTGCAACTGCAAGTCATGAATGCCGCCCTGTATACAAAGATGCAATTTAAATTACGCTTACAGTCCCAAATTCAAAGATCGACTGGAAAAAAATCCAAAACCATCCCTATTAAAAAAGCTTTGAATGGATATTAAAATATACATATAAATATATTCATACGTAATTTGTTACTTTTGAAAGTAACATTGCAGTGACAGCTGACTAAGTAACTTCTTTGTGTAATAATTCACTTATCTTTCTCAGTGAAACTAACTGAAGAAAAGAAATTACAACTGCTTGTCCTATGTTAAAAATTAGTAATAAATAATAATATAGAAGATGTTTTTGAAAACTGTAAAAGTAATTCCAAGTAATCCTTAATTTATAAATTGTCATAAATACGTCTGCAGAGCAGACAGGATTTTTTCTAATTAATAACGATAATTTGTTATTTATTCTCTGTAGAAGATTCTTGCGGATGCAGTAGAGAGCTGAAGAAAATTAGAACATTTTTATAGTTTAAAGGCAGTTAAAAATGACGACTTCTTCATCATTGTTAATTAAAAAAATGGTTAAAGGGACAGACCGGCTATGTAAGGTAGTTGAATTGAGTTTGCAGTGTTGTGGACACATTCTTTAGGATTCATTTGAGACATATAAAACTTATTTAAGATCTAAAAATTCTGAGCTTGAGCGCAAGTCCACGTTCAAAACCGTACATTTGGGTGAATACGTTTTCACAATGGTTTTTTTTATTATTAAATAACGACGACAAAAATTGTAAACAAAATTCTACAGTGAACTAAGAAGTTGTATAGGAACAGGTTGAGAAAATAAAAATTAATCTTATCATAGAAAATGAGTAATCTTATTCAATTATTAATCTCTATATTCTCTCAATATTCACAAAGATTTTCTGCAGATTTTCTGGATTTTTTATTGAAAGACGACATTTGAAGAATTTGTAGAAATCTGCGAATAAATTCATACAAAATAAGAAAATCAATATAGTGATGTAAACGAAATAATTGATTCTTTTAAGAAATATGTTCCTAACCATTTAATTAGTTTACTGTATAATTTTATTTTATTTTTCCTCTTCGTGATTTAATGATTTAAAAAAAAACCGACTTTGAAACGTACCGACCCAAATTCATGATTTTATATCGTGGAAACGTTTAATATGTCTCAAATAAATCCTAAAGAATTTTTCCACAACTCTGAATACTCAGTTTAACTACCTTACATAGCCGGTCTGTCCCTTTAAGGGTATTGTTGTGAATCGGAAATCACTTAATATTGAGGGTTACTTGTCAACATTCAATTCAACCCCTTTAATGTGTATTTTTATTTTAGAATAGTCCAACATACGTGTGAGGAGTGTGGAAAATCTTTTGCCCAATTCAGGTAAAAAATATGTTTAAAATTTATAATAATACAGCTCTTCGCTCATATGTATTTATTATATTTATTTTAGCTTTAGCTTCCCAAACGGCTGGGCCAAATTGGCTGAAATTGTTTAAGGGAACCCATGGGTATGCCCTGGTGATAGGCTAAAAAAATCAAATTATGTTTTTTCCTTCAAAATTCTTAATTTTTTTTCAAAGGGTTTTTAAAATTTTAATGGCAACGTGGGGCACTAAGTTTCTTTATAATAAAGCTCTTCCCTCATATGAATTTTATGTATGTATGAACCAAATTGACTGAATTTTTTTTGAGAGAACCCGTGTGTAGAAATAGGCCAAAAAAATTGAAATTCCCCGGCAACGCCATGGGGCCCTTCGTCTTAAATCATTATTTAATACCAGCGCGGGAAAACGGCGCGGCAGGAGTAGTAATGAGTAATAATATGAATTTGGGCAACGCCGGGCACTCCAGCTGGTAGTTTATATCCTAGATCGTCTAGATTCTGGTAGTTACAGACTAAAGGAATTTTGATTTTGATACAGTGTAACTTTGTAACGTTTATAAAGCCAAATAATAATAGTGTTAAATTACTGAAAGTGACAGTAGACGTTTATTCAAGTGACCCCATAATGCATTTTAGGTCCGATTAACAACTGTACCTTAAACTTTTTGTTAGATCATTCATGTCGGGGATATTAATCGCAATAATTTCAAGGCGAAATTAAAAGCACATTTATTTCTTCTAGTTCTAAATACATGATATTTTATACACGAGTGTATAAAAGGAGAGGAAGTTGAGAAGGTCTTCTCTGGTTCCAAGATCCGACTCTACTGATTTGCGGATTTCATAATTCTCTTCCCGGGGATTTAATGTATACAATATCCTTTTTGTTCAGCAACTTAAAAATACACTGGAGAACACACACTGGTCTGAAACCCTTTATTTGTCAACATGAGAATCCAGTGTGTAGAGTTTCTTTCACTACAAAACAGTGTTTACAGGTAAATCAAGAAGATGAAGTTATTTACCTTATTTTTCATTTTCAAAAACCACAAATTCAAATATAACCTCTTTTTTTTACAAATATGATCAAAGACCGAATTTAATTAATTGGGGAGGAAGCTGAACTACATACCGCCGCCGATTCAAATCCTGATTCACCTATTAAAATTATGATGTTGAAAAGTTAAAATACTTGGATAACACTTGGATGAANCGCCGGTTCAAATCCTGAATCACCTATTCAAATTCCCATGAATTTTTAACTTTGAATCAGTAAATTAGGATTTGAACCGGTACAAGGTAGTTCAGCGGCCTCTCTCCGACGCCAATTCATTCAATTTCGTCCCAGTTTAAAGAATAATTCTATTTTTCAACATGATAGAAAATATACGCAGTAAGGCATAAATGCGTGCAATATGTAGAAGCCTAAGAAGAGATAAAAGCAAATCTTTGAACATCTCTGTTTTAAACGATCTATTTCTTTTTGATTCATTATAGACAAATTTCACGTTTCTTCAAAATTTAGAATAATAAACTTTCAAACTAAACCTATTAAACTTTTATTTATAGTGACATTGTACAGGGTGTCCCAATAAACATGGGAATTAAGAGACGACATGAAAGTCGTCTTCAATTTCTGATATTTAATGCTTGGCAAAGAAAGTATGAAAACGAGGTTGTACGTCTTACGAGATTTTAATAAAGTGTTCTACCTTTCTTTGTCTTAGAAATTGATGATTTTAAGACAATTTTAATTTATTAAATAAATTAAAATTTTTACAAAAAATGGTACAGCATATTTTTAAAATTTCAAGACCAGGCGTTATCGATGTCAGGTGTTTAAACTGGAATACTGAAAGAAATGCCATATGGATAGAAGACGATATACAAGTCGTCACTTAATTCCCATGTTTATTGGGACACCCTGAATCTGAAAAAAAAGGTTTTCTCCGATTCACAATGGTACTTTTTAACATTTATCTGAACAAAAATGGAGGATATCATCGTTTGAAAATGTTTAGTTTTGACAATTTCCTAATTATACTTCTGAAGCAAGTAACTTTCTATAAAAAAAACGCAATCAAAATTAATTATCTTGCGAAGATGAGATTATTGATATATCATGCATTATTGATCATGACAACGCTTTAAAGTGTACCCTAGTGAATTTAAAAATATAGAGGCACTTAGAATAATGTGTACAGTCCCTTTAATATGGCTGTTTACTTGTTTAGGTCCATTATAGAAAGATTCACGGATATAACGACAACACTATGCCAACAATACAATCTAAATCTTCAGACTTTCCTCATCATTACCGGTATCATAGACAATCACAACAGTGTCAACAACGAAAAGATCAACACGGGAATTATACCAAGTTGAATCAGTAAAATATTATACCATAGAGCTGCAGAGCAACTTTAAAGGTATCATGATTGATCCCGAAAATGTCTGACGTAAGTTAATATAAAATAATAATAAAATAAGTCAAATGTCTTGTCATGAAGACCGATGAATTGGCGTATTTTTTCATTGACAAATATAGAAAGTATTTAAAATTTTGTACCATTCTCAAAAATGCAAGAAGCTTTTGAAAAAGCTTAAAAGATAGTTAGTAATCCATATTTTAATTTTGTTTCTCATAACTTGCAACAATTGTTTTTTGCTTACATACGTAAATAAGTACAAAATATGAATGATGGTAAAATCAAATATTGTAAAAGTATATAAATTAGAATAATCTTTTTATAGATAGCACCAAAGCCTTTCATATACACACAAAGGATAAGACTTTAAAGACGAACTAAATCTTTTTATTATTGCGAACTGAAGGTTAACTTAGATCTTCTTCCTTGAAGGGACTGTAATGGAAAAATGAAAGGGGGGTAAAGGCTGAAACCTAAGCATTTTAGGAGTTGATCGAGACCCATAAAAGTTCTATCTGATGTTTCTGTTTCAAGAAATTGATATAAAACTGTGACAAATTTTACGAAAACCTATATATATATATATAACATTTTGTATAAAGAAATAGTAGGTTTAAACGAATAATATTGAGCAAATATACAACCAATCTGAAAACGACGGTATCCCAGAGGAGCCTAAGAAACTTAGGTTTGCTTCTACTATCTATCTCATCTATCTATCTATATATAAATTTGGCTTGTCTGTCTGTCTGTCTGTTTGTCTGTTTGTTTGTATCCAATAAACGTCAAAAAGGCTGAACCGATCGGGCCCAAATTTTTTGTGGGACATCACGTGACCACAGGGAAGGTTTATGAATGATAAAAATAAAATAAAAATGTGTTTTAAAGGTTTTAATTTTGTAAAAAAAATTAAATTCTTGAAAATCCGCGAATTTTTTTTTAAAAATCCGGTAACATTTTTTTCTTCTTTGTTTTAAAATGTAAACAAAAAGAACATGTTCACAATTTAAATAGAATAAAAGCCTAGTTATTTAAATTTAATAATTTTTCACTTATAAAATATATAATTGATAAATTATTCATACGTCCGTATCACGTGACAAATACTCCCAGCAATGGCAGTGCAGTATACTGATCTCATGATACAGATTACAGACGGAGTCACGTGATAATGATACTTCAATGCCGTTGTCACTCAATCAACTTCTAAAATGCTTAGGTTTAATTTTTCCTTTACAGTCCCTTTAAATAAGTTTTTCCATTAAATGATTTGACAAGACATGACTTTGTAAAACATGCCGGAATAATTTCTTCAGTCGGGTCTGATATCTTGTCCTTTGTGGGTTGCCCTGTATTTAACAAATTATGTAAATCAAGACTATTGATAGATCTTAAAATATTGAGATGGGAACTAGGTATGGATAATAGGTAGTTGAACTACTTCAATCATGCACACTAGGCCACACTAAATAGGAAGCATTGTTACAATCTCTACCTAGCTCAACCACTTGTCAGTACTCATCCAATCCAACAAACATTGGTATTTTAATAGCATTTGTGATTCTAAGCATACTAAATTTTTACTACCAACAATTAATGGTGTTCTTTAGTTATAAATTTAAATAGTTTTGTGATTAAATAAAAATAAAAACTAATCTCATAAAACTTAGCACAATTTATCTCTTTTAAGTTTAGTATGATAACAAAGTGTGTAAACAATATAGATATATTGCAGGGGAAGAAAGTTCCAAACCGTGATCTGGCCCAAACCTGACATTGAGTGTCAGGTTTGGGCCAAAGTTATCTTTTTTAATTGTTTATAGTTTTCAATTCAGGTAAAAAACATAGTTGTAAGATAGATGTTCCATTTTGGTTTGAAATTTTTAGACAGTCCGTTTACACCTTTTAGAGTATCTTTCGCATGGCTACTCATGTCAAACTATAAACTTTACTTTAACAAAATTTATTTAACATTAAAATACACACTGCACAACGCTTTTTTCACATTTTTGCAAAGAAACATTCCTTTGACAATAAACTACACAAAACATAATTAAAATATTTAAAATATTTAGATATTGTTAACATTATTCTAAAAAAATGCTGAAAATTAAAAAAAGTATGCAACATTGCCTTTAAAAAATTTTAAAATTATAAATTTAAAGCGCTTTCTTAAAATTTACTGAGCTTTACAAATTTCAAGCGGCAAACTGGTTCACTAATAAATATTATTAATATTTTAAACAATACCAACAACTGCAGTTTGTGTTGATCACGTTTCACAGCTCAACATGGAATATTATTTAAAGGACTATGGATATTTAGTTTTAAAACTGATTTGAAAAAAATATCAGCTACTGTTTTCAAATTCGTTTGAAATTAACATCCTGTTTTATGTAAGAGACACTCCTATCAAAATCACAGATTTTTTTAAGCAGCAGTGGACGAATTTAAAGCAGCAGAGATAAAAGGTTGTGAATTGTTTGTGTTATTGTTTATAGTCAAAATGGAAAATAGAAAATATCTGATTAAATGAAATGTTTTAAGAGTGGAAGTTAAGAAAAAAAGGAACAATTAAAAAATCATTAAAAGTTTTAGTGAACAAAATAGAAAGAAATTTAGTTCAGAGTTCATCTCTGATCATGATTGTTTCATCATCATATGCATCATCATGTTCGTCATCATCCGTGTAATAAATTGGTTCATGATAATCATTATCTCTTTTATCATCTACTGAGTCATCTTCAGGTTTTTCATCAAGACTTTTCCCCTTGATTAGGATTTCTTCAACTACCCCGACTATAGTATCTGGGTCCTAAAAACTTGCTAGTTCAAATAAACATAAATAAAAAAATTTCAAAACTTATTTTTTTATTATTTTGAAACATCTTGTAACTGGAAATGAGGGTCTAAAGAATTAACTTTAAAAGTCAGTAAAGTAATTGAGTCTTTGCAACAAACTCAGATCTTCTAATCCCTATCTTTGCAACCTGATGGTGTAAACCTTTGTTATTTTAAACTTAGATTATTATGACCAACCAGAATTCATACTTTGAAATATCTAAGGTCCACAACGTTGGGATGCAAAGATATAGAGATTAGAAAATCAGAGTTTGTGGCCAAGACTCATTTCCTTTGTGCTTTCCAATACAATTTTGAGTTCGCAATACTCCATCTAAAAATTTGAAAAACATTATACAACGCCTCCTTTTTTCAGTTTATTTTCTGAAATTTACAACGGTTTATCATTTTAATTTAGAATGCGGTGAAAAAGTTTAAAAAATGATATTCTCACCCTGGAATTAATATTTTGTGAGAAATAATCCTCCTCCGCATCAGCTCCTTGATATATTCTAAAAGTTCGTCACTTTTAGAGTTTGAAATAAACCATTTCTTGAAACGTAGATAGGTCATTTTAGCAACAAAAATACGGTTAATTCAGGTTTTTACGCATCCAATATCCGTTAGATTTGATTTCTATAACTTTAACAGATTTCCTTTCATAGTATCAAAGTTAATCTATACAGTTCCTATATGTCCCACAAAAATTATAATTGTAAATTTAAGTTGGTTATTAGTGTATTTAATAAACAAGGTAAACAAAATTAAACATAGTCCTATTTCTAATTACTAACCAGCATTAGATAAAAATCCAAAGAAAGCACGACGGCTTCTTAAATAAAAATTGTTTAAAACGAATTGAACTTCATTGATTAAAACGATAAGGCATAAACTTTGCAGCTCGGTGCATATTTTCAAAAATATTTGATGGTCGGGGGGGGGGGGAATGAAAAATTGGACGTGGAGGGTGGACAAAAAAAGGGTTTCCAAGAAAGAATATTACCTTATTGTTGGATAACCAGTTACTCCTGCCTGTTTGCAAATTTGCTTGTACCTAGTAAATCAAGGTTCAAATTCTAAAATTGCATTACCAAAAATAGTAAAATTGCAATTATGATAAATTTAAAACAGTTTTTTTTTAATTGTATATTTACATTTTTAATTACCTTTCGCAGTTTATTTTTCCGACGTTAGCCTTTCCTTTTAACGCCGTTGCAACCTAAATTAAAATCATAAATTATCAAATTTTGTATAAAAAGCAACAGTAAAAATCTATCGCCAATTATTCTTTTGCCATTTACTCTAACGTCCACTAGTTATATTTTTTTACATACCCTCTAGTACACCTCTATTATGACGTAATTAGCTCTTAATAGTTCTTATTCTTTGACTGAACATGTAATCTGCTCTATAAACATGTTTCATGTCTGTTAAAGCTAGTCTAACAGTAAATAGTTTTCCCAACACTTCGATGTCTCCTTTATTGCTATTTGCTCTATTACTGCTTGCTTTGTTGACTATTTTCTCTTTACCTTTATAGCCCTATTATTGCTCTATTTAACATTTGCTTGTTTAGTTAACACGTTCTTAGCTCATTATTAATAATGGTTTAGTATAGTAAAATTTAACTTTAATTCTAATGTTAAAGTCGGGGGAACTTAAGGCAGATATTTTTTTTATCTTCTTGATTATCCAGAGCTAGTTCCTAGCATTATGAACTCTTTTATCCAAAAAATTGCAATAATTTTAATGTTTAACATTTTTAAATGTTTAGTTACAGAGCAAATAACGTAAAAGGGGTTGTAAACTTGTAACTTTACGCAAAATTATAAAAATTATTTTTTATTTTGTTTTAATCACCTGTTCATATTCTGGTGCAAACTTTACACAAAACCCGCACCACGGGGCGTAGAATTCAACCAACCATAATTTTCCAGATCTAAAAAAAAAATCATTTAAGGCACTAAGAATAAGACCTAATTGAATTCTCTTGAAAACTTTACTTGATGTTATCTGAAGACAAAAATTAATTATTCAGCATTCTACACAATACCGCAGTTTGGTATAGAACGAATAAAATAGTCATTCCCCGTTTTCCAGCTAATTAAAAATTTGAAACGATATTAGTTTAAAATATTTTTAGGAATTTCAAGTTATCAAATATATCTAACATTTATATATTTTTATATATTCCTTTCACATTTCCTACCGTACTACAGAATGCTGGAACACATATGGTGTGATATTTTCCACATTGCTTGGAAGTGACTCCATTACCCATTGGTATAGATTATCAACATCCCTGCAGATCCATCATTTAACTATTCAAAATTTTATTAAAGTTAATCTTATTACTTCCAACTAAAATAAGATCATTTAACAGTAAAATATGTTGATTATTTTGCGCTTAAAAAAATATCTTACTCCCTTTGATCTTTTGTCGGCTTTAGAGTAATAATAGATGCAATAATTATAAAACCAAACTTGCGATTTATTCTTTTTTTGAACTATTTTGATTAAACAAAAAGTGTTGAAATTAAGCTCAGTTCCGTAAAATGAATAATGATAAAAATAAATAAGAAAAAAGATAAAATATAAATTAAAGAATATATAAATAAATGTGCCTATGATACTGCTGGTATGGGGTATAGCGTCTGCTACCAATACTCTCAAGAGGATACATTCTAACCAAACATCAATTTTTAATTCAGTTTTTGCTTTATAACAGATTTTAGATCAGGGGGGAAATTCGAAAATTCATTTAATTTCCTCAATTAGCGAGAACAAATTAAATAATTCCGCTTCGCATAAAACATACCGAATGGCGAATATAACTCACATCTGTGGGGAAAAAATATTCTCAAAATGGAGAGAATCTTTGTAAAGCAATAATGAAGAATCGTGAAGAATAAATTTAACTCATGTGTTGGAAATGAAGTTGTCCATGGACCAAATAATTCCACGAAGTTTGAAATTCTTTTTATTAATCGGTTTTCCTTATAGTTGGGTAGCCGGTTATAACATTTTCCTCACACAACTCAGACTCAGTCTAAAAACAATGAATCATTATTTGATTATTCATTTAAAAATACGACTTGTAAAAAAGTGCTTTAGGGGGGCTTAAAAACGACAGTTAGACTCAATTTAAAATTTGTATAGTTCAATATCGAAAATTATTTCAGTTACTACCAGATTAAGATAAATGGTGTCCCACGAAACAGACACAGATGGTGAATAGTTTAAAATGTCTTCTTCCATAATTTGTTTAGTTGTTTGATATTAAAGAGAATAATAAAAAATACTAAATGGGAATCATACTATAATAATATTGATTTTAAAGTAAAATATATTTATTGAGTAAAAGATTTTTTTAAAGGAATTAACCTGCAGTCTTTAATATTTAATACAATGTATAGAAGAAGACATTCAAAACTATTCACCAACTGTCATGTTTCGTGGGACACCCTGTAGATTGTTTAAAGTTTGTAAAGCATTCAAAACAAAATTCTAAAAGACTGCATTAAAGAAAGTAAACTTTTAATAAAACATAACATCTGATTAGAAATAAAAAAAATATGTAAATATATATCATTTATAAATATACCTGACAATCTACTTTTCCAATCTTTACATGCGGCAATTTTTCCAGCTTTCTCCCTTTAAAAGACTTCAGTGAGAAGGTGATCAACATTCAACATGTATGCAAATTTTATGAACAAAATATTACCCAAAGCACTCCATTCAGGTGCAAGCTGTCGGCATGGACCACACCAGGGGGCATAGAAATCCACCAACCAAACTTCATCAGCTGATTTCCCTCCAACTAGCTGCTTAAAGTTTGCCTATCAATGAAAAGAATAAAAATCCACTTAAAGGGACCAGCTTCCATTTTTTAATGACGTCACTGGTTCACAACAGTACCCTGGCACTTGTTTTTGTTGATAAATTTGTTTGCAAGCTGTTTTATATTCATAAAATATAGAGCCAGAAGTGACAGAAAAAAAAATTTTCTTTCAAATTTTTGAAAAATAAAATCTGGATTCTCGAGAAATGTTTTTCATGTCAGCTGTGTTGAGTTCACACTATATGCAAGTGCACAGTGCAACTATGCAGTACAGGTAATTGTAACACCGTTATACACTTAAAATATGAACAAAAGGATAGCTCTGTCTTCAATGATAAGGCGAAGTTTAAAAAGAGTACTGTTGTGAATCAGGCATACGCCTCTTCCAACGGAGGTTCACTTGAAATCACTCCTACAGTCCATTTAACTGATTTACACCAAATCTAACTGTTAAGCCTTAAATTATTAATAAAAAATACCAGTACATTTAAAGAATAATATGCTTATTGATCATTTCCTCAGTATTAATTTAACCATTCCATATAGCCCGTATCCCATCAAATCTTTATCCTTATCCGAGCTTATTAATAATCTAAATTCAGTCGATCCATGATGTCATTTATGTCTTTGAATAAATTTACTTTGTTAAGAACTGTTACGCTAGGTCTAAGAATATCAGTTACAAAATCAGCAATAGATTCTCCGTCATGGTTTCCAGAATAGATATGCCGAATGCTGCCATTGAAGAAGATGCTGGTCGGATAGGCATTGATGCCATGCTCATTGCAAAGTCTATAGTATCCATTTGAAAGAAAAATTATAGAAAATGTTAAACAAAGCATTATTTGTGTAAAATATTTTTGAATCCATATTTTCTTTAATATCATAAATTTCATTTATTTTATACAAATAAGCACATTTCATTACAAGGCAAGAACAAGAGTAAGGAATAAGAATATCATATTTTTTTCAGAAACATTGAAGATTCTTCCGCCTCCAAGGACGCATTAGAAACATGAGCACAAAGGTTACAATTGTGATATAATTCTAACAAAAAATGCATAATAATGATTGTAGATGTAAATTAAATGAAATTACCAATCTAATTTAAAATGTTTTTGCAATGTTAACGGGACTTAAAAGAAAAAAGGATAAAAAATACCGATAATAGTACTGGCTTTTCTAAACTCTGGAAGAAGTCTCATACAAGGTGGACACCAAGGTGCAAAGAAATCCACAAAGGCTTGTTTCCCTCCTGTTGAAATCTCTGCTAGATCCTCTTTGGACAGAGTTTTCATGGTTCTTGCCTTAATTATTATTACTATTATTATAGAAATTTGGTTTAAAAACTTTTGCTAAATAAGAAACCTCATTAAAACCGATGATAACCATTATAGATTAACCTTTAGGCGTTCTTCGAATCTAAAGGAATTGGCTCTTTGCCACAAACTCTCATTTTTAAATCTCTATTTCTTTGCAACCAAATGTCGTAGACCTTAGATATTTCAAACTATGAATTCTGTTAGATCAAATAATTAATGTTTGAAATATCAAAATGTTACTCTATCAGGTTGCAAAGATATAGAGATTAGAAAATTTGAGTTTGTGGTAAAAACTCCTTTTATTAAAATTGTTTACCTGAGCAGCAAGTCTAGCAAAAGTGGCAATATCTTGGACACCAGTTTTACCATAGTTGAATTCAATACCTCCTCCAACCTTTTACAATAAATGAGTTACAACTTACAAACAAATGTACGAGACTTTTATGTCAAAATAGCATAATATATAGAGATATTGAGTATTTCTAAATTTTTGAAATGATTTGCCTCAAAATTTTGATTTGGTGATTGTTAGAACCCCGGATATATTCTCCTATAAGCTTGATTTAAAATTTTCAAGAACAGTATTTAGTGTTTAGGAAACCCAATTGCTAGAATGTGAACCCAGCTTTGCCTCAATTTTTAAACTGATTAACCTCAAAATTTTGATTTGGTGATCGTTAGAACCACAGAAAAAATTCTCCTATAAGCTTGATTTAAAATTATCAAGTTCAGTATTTAGTGTTTAGGAAACCCAATTACTAGATTGGGAACCCAGCTTTGCCTCAAAAATAATTTTTTCTATAAACTTCAACCCAATCAACTCAGAATTTTAAAACCAAACTTAGAACATTTCCGGCTGGTTCTACTAAGATGCCTTATATAAAAATTTAAGGGAAATCGGTTAAGGGGGTTTATGAGTTATGATCTGACATACAAACAAGCAGACAAACAGAGACGAACACAATCTTGGGAACCCATCTTTGCCTTAAAACTAAACTTTTGATAAAATAAAAATTCAACCTCTTCCACTTTGAATCTTCTAACAAAGCTAAGAACATTTTCCCGTGATTCTTCCGAGTTTCCAAATCAAAACTTGAGGCAAGGTATTCCTGAGTTATAATCGGACAAACAAACAAACAGATATAAAAACAGATATTGCTACTTTCACACTCCTCTGCCGATTTTATAATTGTAAATTCGCGGTACAGTCCAAAGTAGGACTGCAGAGGTTGGCCCACCTCGGACAACCAATTATGTACATCGGTAGGGCGTGCTATACAAATACAGATTATAGAATACTTCTCCTTATTAATAGAATTGGTTTGATCTTCAAATCTGGATATTGTTGGTTACATTTCTCTATTATTGCTCATTTATTGTATTATACTATACACAAATTCTTCCTAATCAGTCTTCTGATCTTTCGCTATTGTTTTGTGGTATATTTTTTAGACAAGTTTGAAAAATATGTTGTGTCCAAAATATGTGTGATGCAGTTCAGTATTTTTATTGTATTTTTCAATAATATTATTCAATAAAAACAGATTTCATTAAATAAAAATTTTTTTCAAAATCTATAATTATTTTCTTTACACATTTTGATAATAATTGTAAACAAAATATTGATTATACTAACTACTTCGTTTCTAACATGAATTGTCTCTGTAATTTCTTGAAAAGATAAGTTTAGCAAAGTGCCAAAGTTATGATAATTGATAATATTAAGCATCAACTCATCACAAAGTATCCCATTAAATTTTGACTTTAAGTGAAACAATGTTCCAAAACACAATGTTCGATAAGTTGTACAGGTTAACTTTTTAAAAACTTAATATATAATACATCATCTCCCTTATGTGGTAAAGTTGTAACTCTTTATAGCTCTTTATTTAAAATAGCGATGACAACATTTTTGTTTGCACTCTCCAAATATTTATATACCTTAAATGCGATGAATGTTGGAAATTTCGTTACTGCTAGATTGGCACAAGTAGATCTATAGATGGCACAGTCAAGTTGGCCCATTCTTTGCCTCGGAATCAAGTATACCAGCTTCTTATATTCTAAAATTAAATCAAGATATATAAATACCGCACATCTTAGTAGATGGTAGTGGTACACACATTAATCGTCTTTGTTTGTAGATTCTATGTCCGAATTTAATGAATTTTAGCCGCGTCTCAAATCCGCCTAAAACCGGTTTCAATTGATCGCCGGCATAAATCTCGAAACATTGAATACAATTTTAGGTGGAACTAGCCATATTTAAGCCGCGGCTCTAATTCTTCCATTTCAGTCGATGGTTTATTATGCACAATTGTTGAACTTGGTTTATACAATTAGTTTAGTGAGATTTACATGTTACTAGCTTCATTTTTCATCTTTCATTAAGGGTTTCCATTGGCATACCTGTGTGTCAAAACATACCTAACGAATGGCCCTCATCTCCGTGCACGAACTGCACAACCCAAGCAGGGCTGACCTCTTTGCGAAGACGACTTTGCATTTCACTATTAATTTTATTTAAGTTTTAACTTTTAGATACGTCTAATTCTTTTATGCCCTGGGTGGCCTCTTTTTAATCTGTGGTGAACATATATTCCCAGCTAAGCTGGACTAAAATTTTCACTATTTTCTTATGGGTTAATAGTAAAATATCATCCCGGCTGAGTACACCTTTCAATAATTGCAAATTTTTTGATATTAAACTTTTGATAGTGTTAACCGAGCTGGGAACTTTTGAATGGTGAATATCGGGATTAATGCTTGATCCAATCTTTTTATTAATCTCTAGACTAAATAATGCTTGTGCTCCTTTCGTTACTAATCTCCAGATTAATTAAGCGATCGGGATTAAGGTTATCCCATTCTAAAGTTTTCAGCTCTGTTAACATTTGAATTCATATTTCTTTCTTTCCAGGGCATTAATTATCTAAACGTCCTGCTGGTTGAAGGGGGCTCCCTTCAACCAGCAGGGTTATAAATAGTTATTATTCAGTCCAAATTGTTCAATTTTGGGATCATAGCATAGGCCCATTGATGTTTTGACGTTCATTGGATACAAACAAAGTAAATGAACAAGTATTTATGAACAATGTCATTTTGGAAGTGCACTTAATATTTTTACAAGCCCTACGGATCTAATAGTGAATGATCTAACATCAGAATTCATCAATTTAATGTAATATTATTTATCCTATTCCATATTTCATGTAGATACTAAATATTTCGTAACGTTTTTATTAACTTTGTTCAATTCTTAAGGCATGTGGTGACTTTCTGTCTCATAGACAGGTTTCAGGTAGACACCGTTTATTTTTTATATTTAATTTCAGTGTTAATTAAATAAAATTCCTAAAGGAATCATCATCCAAAACTGTTGACCCAGGTAGTAATTCCAGCACTTCTCTTAATACAAAAGGTTCAAAAAACATGGATTAAAAATGAACATTTCAAATTAGTATAGGTTGAAAAATTAAATAAGTTGAATGTTTTACCAGAAATCAGATTTGTTGTGTAAAATAAAGTAAATTTTAAACTTTTAGATTTAGAATAAATGCGTGATCTCTGAATTTATCATTTATCCCTTTAAGAGTATGATTCAGCACCCGAGGGGAATAATTTTTGGGACAATGAAAAATTGGACATGAAAGGCAATTTTTAATCCTTTTTTACACTTTTCCCCAAAAATAAAAATTTATTTTCCCCCTAAAAATCATTTATTTTCTCAAATTCAGCAAATAATATCCTAAATTAAAAATTTACGCTATGCTTGATTGACAACTCAAAACTTTTGACTTCATGTCATATAAATCTGAATTTATTGAAATAAATTAAATAATTAATTTTTTTGTTGCGTCATTTAATTGCGTGATAAAATTAAATACGGCCAATTAAAAAGATTAAAATTAAAATCCAAGTATCTACTTAGAGAACAAATTACTTTAATATCACATTCGTTTTAGTTTCTTCAAAGTTTTTGCTTTAGTTAAAATTCCTGTACCTTTTTTCAAGTAAAACGGTCTAGCAAATACCTTGATATTTCTCCATGATCAAAAATAGAAGCCGGAATATCCACACCTTCAGTTGTTGTTGGATCACTGGAAAAGTACATGAGAGATCCAGTGCTTTTCTTGCCTCCCAGTTTGGTGCAAATAGACAGGTCCTGGCAAAGTAATAATTGTAAGTTACTAGTCGCTAAAGATTTAACTGCCCAGGGGCGAAAATAAGGATTTTCTAGGGGTGGGGGTAAAGTTGAAACCCCCCTTAATTACGCCACTGTACTGCCTTTAAATAATCTATATCTCAAAACAAAAATTTGCCCCAGAATATTTCGGCCTGTTTGTGTGCATGTATCGAATAGATAATCGTATAGGGAAGCCAAATCTGATGAAATCCTTGGGAAAGTCAGACTCAGAACTCTTTAAAAGATAAATAGTCCATACAAGATTTAATTTAGTGTACTATAATACTACACTTAAAGAAAACTCCAAGCAGGAGCTCTTGTGTTGTATCAGATTCAAGACTATGTATCATGTATCTCCTTGCAACTTGCTAGTGCCTGCATTTTTTCTTTTATTCTCCATATATTTGATAATATTTACTCCCCTGATATAAGTTTACGCTAAATCAACAGAAATCATTCCAAATACATGCATTCACTTTCAAGCAGAAGGCATTCAAAGGTTTCAACAAGCAACATTAACATTTAAACTTAGAAAGTTTGTAAATAAAGTTTTTTATTGATTTATTAAGCTCAAAAGTTCTTATTTGGTCAAGTTAAATTTATTTCGTAAAAAAAAGTATCGGGTTCCGAAAAATTCCAACTAAAAAGCCAAGTTTATCATAAAATAGGCGTAAATTTCGAAAAATATATACTTAATTACTTGATCACAATCTACAAGGCCCACTGATACAAGACCATGAAGAGTAGCTCCCACTAGTTTACGAGTGAGTGCATCTGGACATCCTAAAGAAACCAAATACTAATACAAATGTAGTTTCATAAAAATGTCCAAAACCAAACTATCAAGTAAAAAATATTTTCTTTAGGATGTCATAAATAAATTTCGTAATCAATACCTTATTTAATTTTAAATTTAAATTTCAAGTTACTAGCTGTCTCCCTTTTATTATTGATATTTCTTATTATTAAATAAAACCAAATAAGAAAAAAGAAAAGTTTAAATTTTTTGGATTCATTATAGAAAAGCTTTTTATGGGATTAAATCTTCATTTATTTTTTGTAGTCGAATAAAAAACTAAATATTTCATCTACCTAACTGTTCAGAACAGAACATTATAAGCCAGGGTTTTGACCTTGCATCTTGATTATTCATCCACTTATTCAGATTTCCAGACCAGAGATCAATCACATTCTCGGTCAGAAACCTGTGAAAAATGGCCGATTGTTCATGATCTCCTTTAGAATTACTAATAATGAATTTATTTAGCGGAATTGAAAAGTGTAAGCATGTTTTTGGGTTTAAGTTAGGAAACATGTGAACTGGATATTTTAAATATGATTAAAAAGTCAAACTTAAATGTGACAAAATTTCACGCTTTTACATGTTGAACTGTTTTATAATTATATAATCTATATCTAAATTTCTTTACTCAATAATTTATATTATATCATATCTGTTCGGTTCCATAGTAGTAAAGCTATCGTATAAGAATTCCCATTATTACACGGTTCAGGAGGAACAATTTTAATATTGTTCGCTTACTAGCGTTTAAGAATGCTTATTCTTACTCTGTAGGTGTAGAATTTTCATTCTTTAACGCTCAGACCGTGTAAGAATGGAAATTATTACACGGTCAGAGCGTGAAAGAATGTATATTCTTACACGCTCCGAGCATTAAAGAATGGAAATTCTTACACTAGTTGAAGAATATTCATTCTTACACGCTCCTTATATTGATTTTTTCAGTATAGATCAATATTGATATTTTGTACTGAAAACATGGACAGGGCAAACTCACCTTTTTTCTTTTACATTAATACATACAAACTTGCCTTTTTTAACTTAAAAACAACTTACCTTTTTCTTATATATTAAAACATGCAAACTTACCTCTTTTACTTTGTATAACATGCTCACTTACCTTTTCATGCTCACTTACCTTTTCGATGAACTAATCTTGATACATCAAGATTAGTTCATCTCGTTTAAGAATTTCCATTATTACATTTTTTTCCTCTTAAGATTATCATACTATTTTATCAAAATAATTTAGTTTTTTAATTTCCCTATTCCATTTTAATGACAGAAAAGCTTAATTGTGGAACATAAAAAATTTAACGAGTGGTTAAATACCTGGAAACATACTCTATGAGACTTTCTTCATCTCTATTTCCTTGATACTTCTTCGTACCTTCCTTCATTGTATACAGCTTTATAGTCGGGTAGCCTGTACAAAATTTAAAAAATAAAAACACTTTAACAAAATTTTCTAATCCCTATATTCTTGCAACTTGATAGTTTGAACTTAGATTATTTCATCTAAAAGAATTTATTGCTTGAAATGTCTTAAGTCTATGATATCAAGTTGCAAAGATGCACGGATTATAAAATTTGAGTTTGTGGCAGAGACTCAATTTCTTTCCATATAAAATAAAAAAATTAAAAACTTAAAATTCACAAATTATATATTTTTAATGTTATCAGACCTTTAAAAAAGCGGGAATTAAGTAACGACGTCCCATATCTATTCCCTGTATACGGTCATTTGCATTGAAACAAAAAAGTGACATACATGTGTTCATGTTTTTTGTGTAACATAAGATGTATCAATATTTGCGAATCAAAGATTTTAACCCCCTATAGCGCCCTTGTAAATATTGTTTAGAGGTGCTCTTTTTCTTTGATAGATTTATGTATATTAAATATCAAATTCATGCTACCGAGGAGTCTCTTAACACGAAAAAAACTGTTCGGCGATTATGATTAATCGATTTTACTGATACACACTTTTACCAGATTGAATAACCAAGATCGCCGACACATCAGATTGACTAAACCAAGATCGCCGACGCATCAGATTGACTAAACCAAGATCGCCGACGCATCAGATTGACTAACCAAGATCGCTGACACATCAGGGAATTGTTTCTGTGGCCTGTAAAATATACCTGTAATTCCTTGTCTTTGGCAGATCCAATATTCATCCTGACAATTTACAGCTCCAATTCTTATTACACCTGAAAAAAAAGTTTATCAATATATATAAAGTAGTAAATTCTCTGCCCGGTTTTTTTGTATGTCCAATAACAACTCGTTCACTTCATGACCGATTTGCCAGGTCGAGATGCGTCCGGATTCTTAAATTATAATTCAATCGTATTTTGGTCTAAGAAAAAGCTCAAATTCACGCGACATAATTGGTACGATTTTCTGATGTTGTAAAGAAAATATTTACCCCTGGATTGTAGTTACCTTGAAGCTGTTTTGCAAGTCTTCTCCATGTTGGGGCAAGGTCATGGCAGTGCCCACATCTTCATCAAACAATAGTTGTATTTTATATTAGTTCCATATCTGCTTAAACAAAATTCTTTTACTTCAAAGCAGAAAGTTATATTTTTTAGAAATTATATTTTTTTCTGTTTTTGGACAAAATTATCAATTGTTTTCCTTGGACTGTAGAAGTTTATAAACCAAATATCATGTGACTCCAGTACGCTGTTAAACAAGCTCAGTTTATAAAGTTAAACATTTTGACGAAAGGAACTGTAGGTGATATTTCAAGTGACCCTCAGTCCGATTTACAACCTTTATCTCGGCAAAAATGAGTTGTAGTTTGCTACCTGGAATTGAATTAATTAAATTTTAACAATTTCTGTTTTTCTCTTGAATTAGCGGGTCTCTTGAAATCACAAATACAGTCCCTCTCCACTTCTCAAGCAATTCAGTTTTAGTTTTATTTGAATTCATTTTGGCATATACGTATATTTTGTAAATGGTTCTATGGTAACCTGTGTTCGAATTTAATGAATTTGAGCCGCGTCTTAAATCCGCCAAAACCCGGTTTCAATTGAGCGCCGGCTTAAATCTTGAACCAATGAATTCGATTTTAAGTAAAACCAACCATATTTGAGCCGCGACTTAAATTTAAGCCGCGGCTAAAATTCTTTAAATTAGGTCTCTGATTTATTTTCATATATAAATACAATCTTAAAATTCTATGTTTATACGTTCATTTATGATCAATAATCTCTGCAGTTCTATATTTTTATCTGTGATAATGCGATTTTAAAAAAAAAATTCTACAAATTTTAAGGAAAGTTGAGCTAGCCTCTGTTGAAACTCCGCTTGATCTAAGGTTACTATTTCCACATCGTCGTCATAAATGCCAAAATCCTCATGATAGTAGTTCCAGGACTGATAATTTCCACCATGCCCTGCATGTTCATTGAACAAATAACTTTGATTTTGATGTAAAAACAAGACAGAAATTCGTGTCAGATATACATTTTTTTCAATTAAACCTTTTTTCCTTTTCATGTAATCAAATTTCTTAGCATATATTATACAGGGTTACCCACAAATTATAAGACTACGGAATGTTTGTTTTGTCGTTTCCTAATATTTATGATTTCCTAAAACTGTAAACTTAATGCTTTCTTTATTAAAGTATAAAATAAGATATTAAAAGACTTTATTTAAGGCAGAAGACTTGATCTAACCTTGGGATCGTTATATTTTATGAGTTTTAGGTCGTCTTTACAGTCTCATCCTTTGTGGGTAACCCTGTATGCAAAAATATAGATTACTTCAAATTTAAAATTTATTCAATACTTTGCATTGTGACTTTTTACCGTTCGTCAGCAACAATAAAGATATCAATTTATAATATTAATAATAGTTATTTCAACGTCATTCCTTTGTTTTCATCTAGTCCCTCTTCTCCAAACATGTCATACTTTTTTCTCAGGACTTCATCCTTACCACCAAGAATTCATTTCAAAATTTACATACTAAATTATAAGTCTTTTCATCTCAGTTTAATAGAATATCCAAACATGAAGTTAAGATTTGTAAGTTCTTGGATTCGAAATAATAAAATAAATTGAGGTTTAAATTGTAAACTGATTGATTTAAACAAAAAAAAATATAAGTTAATTAAAGATTTGGTATGAAGGGTTTCATCGAATTTGCACCATTAAAATATAATCCAGTAGTAAATTAGAAGAAAGAAAAAAGAAAACAAAAATAACTAATCAGCAATTAACAATTTAAAAAAAGCGATCAGTAAAGAAGGTTGATTTTTAAAATTTTCAAAAAATGTCGATTTGGGGTTTAAAAGATGCGCCTTGGACCGCTCACGTAGAATTAATTCCCTTTTTTCTATTTCTTTATTATGCAAGGCTAAAAAAACTAGTTTTTTAATACCCTGACATATATCTTTCCAAAAACCGGTTTTTGCTTTTAATTTGATTGATTTTCAAAGGATTTCTTTTACGAATTTAACGTTTCTCTAGATCTATTTTTTTCTGACTCACAGTAGTGTTCTGATTTACAAAAAAAAAGTAAAAATCTTAAGAGCTTGAAAATTACGAAAAAAAAATAATTCTCAAATCTTTTTTAAAAATGTATCAAAGAAAACTTTAGGAACTGGTGCATGGTGGATTTGAAAAAATGGTTAAAAATTTACTCTCTTATTGGTAAAAAGCATAAATCTTGAAATAAAGCTTGCAAGCTTGCCTTGAGAACTTCATAAGCGCGTGTCAGCTCTAAAAACTTTTCATGGGCATCATCTGCATCATTCTTAACATATAATTATGTTTTATACTTTGCAGTGGTTTGTAATTATTCTAAACAATTATTTTTAAATATTTTGCTTCAGGGGGGGGGATAAAATGAACATTATTCACAAGTTTAAATTCTAAAATGCATGTTACACTATAGCTCAAACATTCAATATATATTTCAACAATACTGTTCTTTATCAATGATACCATTTTAACATAACATCACATTAATTTTTTTCTTAGATTGAATGATTACAACCTTGATGATTTAAAATTTAATTTTTATTTCTGGAGTGGAAATTAAACTGCTTGGGGGAGAAAACAAAAAGACGAAATCTTTTTTATTTTTTATTTAATAAAACCGTATTCTACGAAGAGACTACTTTTGTATATTTTGTTATTGTTCTTATTTGTACCTTATCAGGATGAAGCTTCAGAGCCAGCTTTTTAAATGCTTTTCTAATTTCTCTATTATCTGCATTCTTTGGTATTCCTGAGGATGTGAAAACAAATTAGAAATTATACGATTAATGAAAAAAGTTTTATATTGATAATATGATAAAAGTGTTGCTTAACTCAATTTAAACGAATATTCTAAAAAATCATTTTGGGTAAAAAAAAAAAATTTTTGGTGACATTTTTTTTATTTAGTGTGCTAAACTCAATTTAAACGAATATTATAAAAAAAATTTTGGCGACATTTTTTTTTTAGTGTGATAAACTCAATTTAAACGAATATTCTAAAAATCAATATTGGTAAAAATAAAAAAATTTTGGCGACATTTCTTTTATTTAGTTACCTAGCAGTTGATAATATTCTTTTGATAAAATACTGTTTATGTTAAGAAATAATAAATACAGCTGAATGAGATTCATTTTCATTTTTAGATCTGGAAAAGAATATTTTAAATGCTATTATATTACACTAGCTTGGGAACCCAGCGTTGCCCTGGTTACTCAAAGTTACTCCTGCTGTTAACCCGCACTTTGTCGTTAATTACGATTTTAGCTATTTCTCCCGATAAAAGACGACAAAGTCAGTTTAGACTCTCAAAATCAGGCTAAAAACATTTCAGTGGTTCTCCCGAGTTCTCCAAACAAAATTTGAGACAAATCAGTCCAGGGGTTCCTGCGGTATGATCTGACAAACAAACAAACAAACAAACAAACTGACAAACAGAGATTACAACTAAATATATATGTTATACATTTAGAAATAGTTGTAATCCAAATTGTAGAAAAATATCTAGCGTTAAAATGAAAAAGTTCAAAATAATTAAAAATTTCTACAAGTTTTCAGAAAACTATTAAAATGCAATTAAAATTAGTGTTCTATATAAGAAGACTGAGACCCATGAAACTGTGGAATAGAATATAAAAACGACATGTAAGCAATCTAATGTGTATTATAGATGTATTCAGAATTCTAAACCATTAATCATTCATACAAATTAGTTTGTATAGACTCCGCTTTGATTACGGTGATAAGAGTAATTTGGTTCTCTTTGAAACATATTAGCTGAGATCGTGCCCATTGGTTTGGCATTGATTGATTAAGAGCTTGTGTCCTACTTGACATTGATGGCTAGTTATGGTTGAAACATATGAGCTGAGTTCGTGCCCATTGGTTTTGGATTGATTGATTACGTGCTTTTGTCCGTTGTGACATTGATAGCTGACGGGTTGTACCTGGATTGATACAGTTTTGGACGAAGTTTTAAGAGTACGGCATTTACTACAGGCCCACCTAAAGCATCATCATGGTTGCCAAGAATGGTAACTTTTTATTCCTTGTTTTAGAATAATTAAATTCGCAAATCAACATTTTTGTTACTTTTTTATATTTTATATTCTGAACGGAATGATCATCCAATTATTTTCCCTATCAAGAGCAATTATCAGTTTTAAAACAAAATAAATTCAAAAACATATTCTCTTTTTCTGAAATTTAAACAAAAAACCGGATAAACATTTTTTTTAAACTCAAAGCGATGTTAAAGTATTGTTTATGCTTCAGGTCTTTGTGTAGCTAGATATTTTTACAACCGAGTTTTAGCACAAACAAATAAAAAACTGCTGATTATACTGGAGGGGATCTTTTGCAGTGCTAACAACAGCTAAGGAAGTTTTATGTATGACGAAGCATCTAAAACTGAGTCTTGACACATACTCTTGTTTTTTAAGCCCTATATCTTTGCAACCCAATGTCATAAAGATATTTTAAACTATGAACTTTGTTATATCAAATAGCTTAAGTTTGAGATATCAAAGGTTTGCACAATTATGTGGAAAAATATTGGGATTAGAACATTCGAGTTTGTGACAAGAACTCAGTTCCTTTATCCAAACCGAAATGATAAATCAATTTTTAATTTATGGGACATTTTATTCCCATTAAACAGCAGTCCAAAATAGGGTTTCCAGCGAACGAAACGTTTCGCGAAAAAACGCGAAAACTTTCGGTCGCATTTTGCAAACTTTTTCGTGAAAATGCGAAATGCTAAAATTTCGTGAAAATGCGATAATTTTGCGAAAATGCGGAAATTTTCGCAAAAATGCAAAAAAAATATATGCGAAAATAAAAAAAAAGAGTTTTATTGTTACAACAATAAATAGCTCAAAAGAGCTTGTGGAATTCGTTTCTCTGATAGCTCAATATTTGAAGTTTTATTTTTTAACATAAATAATTTCTCTTCCTTTACTTTAATAAATGTTTGATGAAAAGTATTTAATTTCACTAGCTGTATTTGAAGTTTCTGTCTGTTCATCCACAACACGTTCAACCATTATTCTTTCAAGAAATTTTCGCACTATTTTTTTCGCGAAATTTCGCATTATTTTTATCGCGAAATTTCCGCATTTTCTATTTCGCGAAAATTTCACATTGTTAACGAAACAGATTGAAGCAAAATTTCGCGAAAAACACCAAAATTTTCGCATTTTTCTCGACCACGAAATGCGAAAATGAAGCAAAATGGTCACGAAAAACATTTTTCGCGAAACGAATTTTTCTTTTCGCTGGAAAACCTAGCCCAAAGTGTGTAAGCTCTTGAGAAAAAATCGATGGGAATTTCGTCTGCAATTTCTCCTAAAAACTTTTTAAAAATATGCATATATGGTTTAAAGGTTTAAATGTACATATCTAGTCTACACAAACAGTATAAGTGAGTTAGTAAGGTAAAATCAAAGGCCAAAGGTGTTGCGACACTTAAAAAAGTAAAAAGTAAACTTAGTCTTGTTGCAACTCTTTAGAAGTCTGGATCCATGTGAATATGTGGTATCAAAATGTGTGGGTGATTTTTTAAAATTTCAAGGAAAAACAGAAATTCGTTGCAAACCAATTCCTGGTTACCAAAAAAGGTTACATGTTTTAAAAAAAATTTAAAAAGTACCACAAGAAAAAGAGGCGCAGAGTGCCATAAACTCTCCTTTTCAAAATATAACTGATGGTTAATTTTCTAAAATTATGTTTGATATTTGTTTTGATGTGTTCATTCTAACTGCAGATAAAACTAATAAATCAATCTGGAAATTTAATACAATTTCATTGCAAGCCACATTATTCATATTGGACTAGATCTGTTACAATACTACGCTAGATTTGCTACACTACTAAACAGAGCAAACAAAATGTATCTTCAAAATTACTAAACTGGGTCAGCTACTGATACTTTAGTAAAATATACTTTTTTCTCACTAAATATTATCTAGACTGGGTCCGATAGTCGCTAGACAGTGCAAGCTGCGACCCATAAACCCTGGAATAGGAAGATGACTGTTAAGACTCAAGATGTAGTCCAATGAGCATAATTAAAAAGTTAACAGACTTATTTTACTTAATAGGTCAATTTTCAAACTAAACTTTAAAAAAGTGTTGCTTTACAATAGGTCCAACTGCAGGTTTAAGATAGTTTTTGACAATAGGTCCAACTGCAGGTTTAAGATAGTTTTTGTTTATATGTTGATCTTCTAAAGTTCTATTCCACTGTTTATAATTCCAAAACCTGGACTATTTTAAGCTTAGGAGGTCATAGGATACTCATAGATCTGCTACATTATCCTCTATACTTGCTACAATTTAATCTAAACTGGGTCTGCCAAAACTATCTTGTAGACTGTATTTTCTACAGCATCTAAATTGCTATACACTATCATCTAAACTGGGTCTGCTACACTGTCCTGAAAACTTTGTCACATATTGGAATTAAAGGAGTTTATCGCATAAACACAGTGGCGTATTCAGGGGGGGACAGTAATACACTTGACCCCCCCCTGGGAGTTCCAGGGGGCCCTGCCCCCCCCCCCTCCTGGAAAATACAAAATTAAAAGGAAACTAAATTATATAAATGTCGTCTTACTTAGCAGACTTAACGAACCTGAACTTATGGCCTGACACCATACAAGGCTGTCTGAGCTCTCTACTGAGAAAATCATTGAAATGTTTGTGCAAACAAATCCCAGAAAATTGAAGCTTAAAAGAGTTTGTGAATATGTAGATGGAGAAAATTATATCTAAAATTTCCAGAAGAAATTTTGCTTATTAGTGAAAATATAAGTTTTTAATGCTGCTGTGATTATTGATTTAGTTAGCTTTGTTGGAGTTAAGTGATAAATTTATAAAATTAAAAGGCTACAGTTAGTTTTTCGAGCAAAGGAATAATTTTTAGGCTTTGTAAGGTTAGTAACATCCAAAAATTACAGTCTTTTAGGTGTATTTTTATGGTGTTAATTGACTCTTTGCACAAACTATTCCAGGAGGGTGCGCAAAACCAGCCAGGGAGGGGGACAAACAAATTTTTTTCGCGCTCCGCAAGAAATCTTGCCCCCCTGGCTAAAATCCTGAATACGGGCCTGCATAAATAGGATATTAACAACAAAATCAGTCACAATTTGGTAGAAAAGTTAAAACAAAAATACTCTAACTTTGCAAATGTACTTTCAAATTAATTACAAATTTTGGTAATTTAGCGGATCATGTTTTTTTAAAACTATTAGATATTCTCAGCCCGATCCAGGTATAGCTCAAATCTTACTGATTTAACTTTCAGCCTGATCCAGGTATAGCTCACATCTTACTGATTTAACTTTCAGACTGATCCAGGTATAGCTCACATCTTACTGATTTAACTTTCAGACTGATCTAGGTATAGCTCAAATCTTAGTACGTTAACTTTCAGCCTGATCCAGGTATAGCTCACATCTTAGTGCGTTAACTTTCAGCCCAATCCAGGTATAGCTCAAATCTTAGTGATTTAACTTTCAGCCTGCTTCAGGTTCGCTCAAATTTTAGTGCGACAACTTATTAGTCGAAATGGAATTAATCTTTAATCTTAAATGGAGTTACGGGCAATGTATGGAGGTTGAACTGAGAATGTAATATTGTGAAGAAATATTTTAGGATTCATTTAAGACATACAAAACGTTTTCAGGATGTATAATTACTGAGTTTGAGACTTTCCACTGTATTGTATAATAGTAATCATTCAAAATCACTTTAGATATTTTTTGCTGGAAATCTATTGAGTAGATCATGTGTAACACTGAGAAATCATTGTATACTGAAATTTGAAAATGAAATGTTCAGTTTAACCCTGAGCCACCGCTCACATTGCGCACAGGTGTACTGTAGACTGTGTGACTGTGAGTGAGTTTGGGAAGATCACACATGGGTGCTCTCGCGTTCCTCGCGTAGAGCACTTATGATAGTTAGATAGACAAACCGTAGATAGATAGATAGAAAGAGCGCGTCTACATTGAACACTGCACACTGCACTCTCAAAGACCTTTTCAGGGATAATTGTATTCTATAAAAGTAATTTAGTATCTTAATTATTTTTGTTTTTCAAACTACTATAGAAACAACAATTGTTATTTTGTAAATTTTACCACC